TACCTATTTATAAATGAAAATAAAGAGTTATTTATGAAATATTCATTTATTTATTGCACATACTAGTTACTCAAATTCGGACATTATAAGGGACATATCTGCTTTATTAATTTCTTTGGGAATATAAATAAAACACTGACATTGAAAATTCAACTTATTAAATTTCTACTATAATGAGAAAAATACGAGGAAAAATACAATTCAATTTATCTACATGAATTATCCAACCGGCTAAATATGACCATATTTAAGCTGGGTTCGTCTTGCACACTCCGAGTGACTCCGTTCGCACTCCAGCCGTTCGGGTATTGCCTTTTAATGAATCAGACAACGGCTGGAGTGCGAACGGAGTCACTCGAAGTGCACGGAGTGTGCAAGCCGAACCCAGCTTTAAATGTGCATACTAGAGCTGGGTTCGGCTATTCAGCGCGGAGTTGGAGTGGAGTGAACGGAGCTAATGGAGTCACCCCTAATACGGTAAAAAGCAATACCCGAACCTTAACCCGAACGGCTGGAGTGCGAATGGAGTCACTCGGAGTGCACGGAGTGAGCAAGCCGAACCCATCTTAGGTGACGTACTCCCGCTAAATTGGTTTGAAGTTACGTGGCAACGTCTACGATCCTTGAAGAGACGGACTATTTTGCTTTCAAGACTGAGTTCAGCTTTGTACTCCACGGAGCGGAACGGTATGAACACGGATATCGTGACAGCCACATGATACGCAGAGTGTGCCCTGAATAAGTTCATGCCGTCTAAAGCCTAGTACTCATAACTGCGAAATTCGCATTTTTTTGACATTGCGTTGACAAATTGACGTTTATTGCGTGTATTAAACGTCACATTGTCGAAGCAATGTCAAAAAAATGCGAATTTCGCAGTTATGAGTACTAGCCTTTTGGGTGGATTTTCATGCATCCGTTTTTCCGACGAAATATGTCCGAAAAACATTCTATTCTGACATAATCGTATATAAATCTGTCAAAATAGGAGAATTTTGCACATATTTCGACGGAAAAATGGATGCATGAAACTCCTGCCTAAGCCGAACACAGATCGAAAAAAATCCTCAAACCCCTTGCCAGTAACTAATCTCAAAAAGTTGATAAGTAATTTCTCTGGTTCTCCATCCATCCATCCATCCAAAAGAGAGCAAGCTCAGGGTCAGAGTACGAGCTCGAGCAAAATCTTAACGTTTCGAACGCACTCGGACTGCTCGGAGTTTACCGAATGTAAAGCCAGTGCATGTACAGAAGCTAGTGTCTGGATAGGAATTAGCGAATTAGCTATCCAAGTGCTCCTAAATAGTCGAAGAAGAACAGTCATTCAGATTTTTTTCATTACTTGGAATAAGAATACTAGGGGACTGCTGGCTTTACGTTTACTTGAGGATGTATCTGCAGCGAATCATGACAGTGGCTAATGTTGTATTGGATTTGGATGCTTATTGAGCTGAAAGTGTATGCCATTTTAGCAGCAAGCCTCAACCCTTGGCGTAAAATGTATTAGCCGGGTTTAAAACAGTATATAGGTTAAAAAAACGAATTCCTAAACCTTATAATCTTGTAAAAATCACCTTTTCTACATTTAAAATCGACGAAAAAAACAAGCAACCTGAATCGCAAGCAGAGGCGGATGGGGCCCATCAGACGGGCGCGGCGCGGGAAGTCCATCGGAACGGCGCCGCGCCTGTCCAGCAAAAAAAATTGAAAAGCACAAGCGAACGACTTTTGCGCATAACCTTCTCTTGAGATGAATAAAGACAAGACGACGAAATTACTCTAGCCGCCGATAATCGGAGCCGCGCCGCTTGAAGGTCCGTTCTCACAGAAATCACAAACCAGTCAGAGCGTTTTTGATTGGTAAAAATCGCCAACAACCAGTTTTCTGACTATTTTCAACCAATGAAATTCTCTCCGACTGGTTTCTGATTTCTGTGAGAACAAACCTAGTGTACTAAGATGAGATCTTGTCATCCGTCTTTTTCTACTCCATTATACATGCAATCAATCGGGATAGAAAACAGAGGCAGACGAACGCGAAGATGCGTCAAAACGTAACATAGCAAGCCATGCAACGTGCCATGAAACATTAGGATTGGCATGGGCGCCTACGGCATGCATACTTATGATTTATGAATAAAGACAAGACGACAAAATTACTCTATTCGCCAAAAATCTGTACCGCGCCGCTCGAGTACGGAGATGGGACTCTTGTCCACCCGTCTTTTTCTACTGCAATATGCATGGAACCTGGAATAATAAAAACAGGCAGACGAACGTGGAGATACCTCAAAAAGGAACATAGCAAACAATGCAACTTGCCATGAAACATTAGAAATGGCATGGGCGCTTACTGCATGCATACTTATGATTTACAAGTTGCATATAGTTCGCCTTACGAGTCTAGCACTACGACGTCTGAAGGGCAAGGGGAAATAACGCCATTCATTTTGAGCTTTATGCTGCCTGTCATAGGCGTGCGGCCAGCGTTTTTCATATAATTTTTTCCTTATAAATGTAGGTGTGTAACATAGAAAAATATTAAGGTATTTTCTATTGGAAGTCAAATAGGCAATATTGCAATTTTTTCATCCGCATTCTTTCCAACTTCGACTTAAAACTGTCGAGAATGGAATCTCAGTGTAAACTTTGTTGTCAACAAAATTGAGCGAAGCTAGCGCCATCTACCATATTGGAAACTCACTATTTACTGGTTTTTCATTGACGCTACAGACACCTACTTTACATAGGGCTTCAAGGCATTTTTATGATAGATGGCGCCCTGTTCGCATTACAGTCAGTCTGTTCATATTTCTTTATTCTAGACTTTGGGACATTAATGTTTGCTTAAATTAATTGATGTTTTGTTAATTAGATCAAAAGACAGTTCCCTTATCGATGTTTGAGGATATCTTTAACATATTTATTCAAAGTTCTGATTGATGTTTAATTGAACCTGTCATTAATCTAATCAACAAAAATAAAAATAGATCTTCCAATCTAAAATCTGTTTTTTTTTTTAAGATAAAAGTCAAACTGACATTATGTTGACAATACAAATGTAAAATTGTCAATGCTTCAAATTTTTTATGTAGAAAAGGCTTGTGTTGCCAACATAGTTACTAGATTTTTGACTTGGGGAATTATCTTTAAAAAAAAACAGACTTTATAAAGTTTGAAGGTCTTCGTGAAACACACAAAACCACTTTGAAATCACTTAGAAACACTTGACAACACAAAGAAAGACGAACTACAAGACCGGCGAACGAAAAACATTATGAATTATTAGTTATGATCAAATGAATATTTTGGCATATTGTCATATGTAGACATGTCAATCCACAGAATTCTCATGTCAATGTTATTGACATCAAACGTGTTCTTGATATGCTGGTATTTTACAATTCTGTTGTTGTCAGCGACATCTAGAAAAACGGAAAAGAGTTATTATGTGGTTTATTACTGGCAATAAGAGATCGCAGGGCCTGGTCTATTGCTAGTGTAGAGTGGCAGTTGTCATTCTGTGGTCATTAGTAGTTGTCAAGTAATTTTCAATTATTCACACACATTTTTCCTCCTTTCTATTTTGTCCAGTTTATACCTTTTATTATTATATTTCTTTTCACTATCTGACTGTACAAGTTTATTACTATCGCATGCTTCCCCCAGATTTTTGAGCTAATAATCCTCAGTGAAAAACTTTATTTTTCAAACTTAAGGTTTAAAGTCAACCCCCATTTTCTGAACCTTGTGTTCAAAAATTCCAAAAAAAATATATGTTTCATGGTTATTGATATACTTTAATCCATAATTTTTTCAAACAAATTTGACTCGCCATTTTTGAGTAATATCGCAAAAACTGAAAAAAAAAGTGGTTTTTCACCATTTATTTCCAAACGAATAGATGAAGTTTCCCGTTATTTTTATTACGAACTATCATTTCAATTCTACGCGACATATATTTTTTTCAAATTTTTTGAACTTGTAGTTTTCTCGCTACTGCAAGAATAGTTGGAAATACGCCTGTAGCTACACTGTTTAAAAAAAAAGTCCGACGGATGAACGTTCAAAATTATTTGTGTTGGTCCAAACTACAACCCTGTTTATGTAAAACAGAATAATACTTCGAATTTCCGCAAAAAAAAAAAAAAAACTTTCCATCACACAATTTAATCAAATGCAGATTTCTATATTTTTTTTTGACTATCAAGTTAGGGCACACTATAGGGGCGACAGTACTGACATCTCGCTTTGCTGTAATAAACTATAGGCCTGACTTTAAACCTTAAACAGCCTTTCTCTCAAAAACTAAGCATATGCGTACCGGTAGCCGCTTTCGGGTGCAGGGGGGCTTTATTTGAAAGATGCAACTTTACGTACACGCCAATGACGTCATTCGTGATTAAAAACTGGTGCACAGCTTATTTGACATGCACTTTTTCAATCGCAACTGACGTAATTCGCGTCATATTTGGGCGTACGCAAAGTTGCATCAATTTCGAATAAAGCCCCCCAGAGTGTTTTAATAACAGAGTGCGAAGCGAAGCTCAGAACACTCCACACCCGTTACTCCATTGCGTTTTGCGAACGCGTCAAACTGTAGTCGGAGTACTTCGGAGTAACTCGGGAGCGCTCAAAGGGTGGCACCCGAAAGCGGTCATGTTTCCAATTATTATTACTATTTTTTTATTTCAATGAGTATTATTTCTCCTAGAAGTTTGATCATTTAAATTAAGTTACCTACTGAATGTACCTCAACAAGCAATATGGAGTAAATCACAAGATAAAACTGCTATAACTTAAGGGATATATTTTAGTCTAAGAGCCGTTTTACACGGCAAAGCTTCTTCACGAAATTACTTACGAAATTGTTTCCGAAATATTTCGTAACTCAACTTTTCCTGTTTTAAGCCTAGTACTCATAACTGCGAAATTCGCATTTTTTTGACATTGCTTCGACAATTTGACGTTTGATGCACGCATAAAACGTCAAATTCATATCTGTTTCTTTTTTGTTTTAATTTTGTTTACTTTAAAGTAGTACATGACGACTGTTGCCGCAACATCAGTCTTAGGTGCTCAAAATTAGTGGAAAAACAGTGAAAATTTAGTGGTTTTAGTTTTATTTAACATTTTGAGGTCGAAAACTCGGATTTTTCATTACCACTCCATCAGATACAACAATCAAAAAATCAGAACTACTTCATTTCATGCAAGGTAACACCCCTTTTTTAGTACAATTTCCAAGAACTATGCGATCAATATGTGATCTCTGTATTTGATCAACACAAATATCAACTTGAAAAAGTCAAAGGAGATTTTTAAGATTTATTACTTTCAAATTAGAAATAAGGTACCTATGATTCTATTAACTACAATGATCTCCAAAAACTTTCAAATATCCAGTCTCCAGAGCAAAGAAGAGACCAACATGATTTGTTTATTCTATATAAATTGATTAATAACATCATCGATTCACCTGAACTTCTATCATTTAATAGGTTTAAACACTCCTTGTAGTAACATTGAAGATAATAGACTATTTTATATTAAAATTCACTATATACTAATGGTTTTTTACTCTCCTTTAACTAGATTTTGTAGATTGGTCAATTCTGTGATAAATAATATTAATATAGATATTTTTAACAGTAGTTTAAATGCTTTTAAATCCTAAATAAAATCCATCTGGTCATATGTTCTTTTTATATTGCAAGCTAGCTTCTATTCTGTTATTCTGGTTTACTGTTTCATTTTTTATTTCTTTATGATTGTTAAACCACTGGGATTGTAAGTGTTAATTTTTTTAGAATAAGTTTTGTATTTAAGTTTATACATTGAAAAGGCTGCTTTAATTTAATTTCATTCATTTATCATTCATTCATTCATTCACACCAGCTTAGTTAAAAAAAAATACAACTACAAAAAGGTTACACTAAGCTGTCTTATTCTTTATTTCCATTATTGATCTTTGTTTATGTCTGTTATTGTCTCTAGCTGGGTTTATTCATTTATTCGCTTGAAAGCATTAATCATCTCCTTATCATATACCTAATTTAAAGGTACTACATATTTCATACTATACCGGGCGCCCAGGAGATCCCTTTCCTGCCATTTTTTTATTTGTCTATCGATATCATCAACGAAACTTGGTAAGGTAAATATTCTAACCAAACGCAATTTTTATGTATTTATGACAAGTTTTCCTGACTGCCGCTTTCACCGGAAACGACCGGAACTTTTGATTTTTAAATGGCACACCCTGTATATTTTTTGTTTTTCGGATTCTACAAATCGTTTTACGTCCTAATGCACCACTTTTGAATCGAGCTCTAAAATTTGTTTTTAAATTAAATTTAAATTTTTTAACTAATATCAGAAAAATACAAACTCAATTCTATCTTTGTAAACTTTTTTGATAGAGGGCTGTAAACTTCATTATTTTAGTATTTTTGCCCTAGCTCAAAAACTAGAATAGAAACATATCACTTTCATAACATCCCTAAATGCAGCATTATATAAGGCGAATCCAACGATATAATACACTTCGACCTTTTTCTTAATTTTCATTCAAACATTTTTGATTACATATATTATGTAGGTAGTTTTTTTTTCTACTTAAAATTTAATTTGAAATCGAAATTTGGACAAAACTCGATTTAAAAGTGGTACACTAGGACGTAACACGATCTGTAGAATCCAAAAAACAAAAAATATACACGGTGTGCCATTTGAAAATCAAAAGTTTCGGTAATTTCCGGTAAAACCGTAAGTCAGGAAAACTTGTCGTTTATGCACAAAAATGGCGTTTTGTTAGAATGTCAAGCCTACCAAGTTTCGTTGATATCGATAAACAAATAAAAAAATGGCATCTGGAAAGTAATTTCATAGGCACCCAGTGTAGGTACCTTAATTTTACTTATACTTACCCAATTATATTTAGATTATTAGGAAAAGATTTAATTTAGACATGTAAGCAAATATTCAATAACATAATTTGCAAAAGAATACAAAACTAAAAAAGCAAAATGTACCAACAGTTAAGGCGCATACAAGTTTCGAGAAAACTTGAGCGTCATATTTCCTGTACATTGCTTAATTAACAAAGTATAATATTTTTTGATTAATAAAATTATACTTATTGTTATTAGCATTCATTTATTCATTCATTCATTCATTCATTTTTTGTTTTGAATTAATCAATTGCCTCTGTTTTGCCAAGGTACAGAGCCCAGTGGAGAATTAAAATAGTCAGTAAACTCTTACCTAATATTTCTAGCAGAGATTGTTGACCTATTACCAAGTTGCTGAACAACTTGTGGAATTCCTAAATTCAAAACATGTGCATCATTTTCAGTTTCTCTGTACTGTGCAGATTTGCTTGCCAGAAAATTGTGTAAAACCACACAAGTCAAAGTAATAAGTTCAACTTTCTCTGGACTTAAATGAATTTTTTGAAGTAGCACTCTCCAGCGATTCACCAAAATACCAAAACCACATTCTGCCATTCGTCTAGCTCTTGATAGTCTATAATTGTAAATCCTATGTTGATTCGTTAGTGCCCTCTGTGGAAATGGTTTCATCAAATTGTCTGACAAGGGAAATGCATCATCAGCTACGATAACATATGGCACTTCATTTGTTCTTCCTGAAAGGACCCTTGGAGGAGGTAATCCCAAACTATTATCATTCATTTTGTGGAATAATTTACAGGAACTGAATACACCTCCATCACTGACTCTTCCATTTACACCAACATTTACATAGATGAATTTGTAATTTGCATCAACAAGTCTTAATAACACAATACTTTCAGATCCTTTATAGTTGTGATAATAGGATCCTGCTGATATAGGTGCACGAAAAAGCTATATGGCGACCATCCAATGCCCCAATACAATTTGGAAAATTCCACTTACTTTCATAGTCCTGTGCAATTTGTACCCATTCCTCAGATGTTCGAAGGGTCTGCAATCAAAGAAAAAAAAAATAGGTAGCTACTCATCTTTATGGAATGCCTATATAAAAACTATTTTGTTCAATGTTCTATAAGTCCAAATCCTTACCTTCAAATAAATTACTTTTAAATGGTTGTATATTGCTCTACAAGTTTCTGGCACAATTTTAGAAATTGTGCTTTCATGAATCCTTGTGCTATACATTAGGCTTCTGAATGTTTCTCCAGTTGCAAGGAAACGCAGGGTAACATTAAGTCTAAAAGTGGTAAAATAAATATATAAAAAATAAAAGTATTACTATCACATAAGAAGTTATACAATACAGTTTATGTACCAAGTATTTACCTATGCTCAGCACTTATACTTTCTCTCATAACCGTGTCTTCTTTTCGTATATCATGTTCAATTAAATTCAATAAATAAGTAAACTGCTCGTCATCTAGTCTCAAAAAGTTTCGATATGCATTAGGATCATTGCATTTTAATTCATTATTCAGAAGAGCTAGCGTGCCCTTTCCTTGTCTGCCTTCCTTGCAGCCACTTTCTAACCCAGCGAGACCTTTTTGGCTTAGAGCGCCTTTTAGTAAAATGGCTTATTAGGAAGTAACAAATTGTTGCAGCCCCCATCAGCAAAAGCTCTTGTTGGTTCGACATGATGTGACAGGTAATAAAAACTTTATCAGTGAAAACGAAAATTCAACTTTATGAAACTGCAGAAGAGTACCTACAAAGATTAGATTCGATTCAACAACAAAAAAACGAACACAGCCCTCTACACTTACAAGCCATGAAGTTGGAAATAACGGCAACGTCGCCAATGGTGCTATTTTGCTATTGAGGTTATATGTTTCTGTGTATTGTTTTCATTGTTTATTGCTAGAGTGAGGTGCATTTTCAAACGAAAAAGTGGCTAGAAACACCAATATATTGTTTACTTACTGTTTATATTTGGTTCATACCTGTTATGCCATTATTAGTTGTGTTTTGATTGTGAATTTATAGCAAATACTGCAATCGGTACAGGAGCAAAAATTAAGGTGAGTTAAGGTAAAAGCAAATAAAAACAATATATTTGTTTCCACTTTGCAAAGTGCAAGAGCACATGTATAGGTCTCGATATTATTATTATCTTAGATATTTAAACTTGTTCCAGATGTCAAGAAACTGCTGTGTGCCGAGGTGCAAATCCAACTATAGGAGTTCCCTGAAGACTGAGGAACTGCAAACAACATTTTCATTTCCAAAAACTTCCGAATTACAGAAATTATGCCTAAAAGCTATACACCGAGATAATTATACGGTAACAAAAAATTCTGTAGTGTGTGCGAAACATTTTGAAAAAAATGAAATCATTAGATTTGAAACATACAAAGATAAAGAAGGAGTAAGTCGAGAACACAAACTTAAACGTCCAATCCTCAAAAGCAACGCTGTACTATAGCAGCCCTGAAATCCAATGAAACTTGTATAGAGACAGCAAAGTTTCTTCAAATAATAAAAAATTGGTGGAGTATTGTTAATGTTAAAAACATACTGAAGGGGACAATAAAAAGAAATGATTTTTGTACTGCAATATATTCTGAAACCGACGATAAAATTCAATTTTTAAAAAAAATTTGTAGTTGGCTTGATGCTTGGCATAGTGACAGCAATAATGTGGGTTTCACCAGAGATACCTATAATGCCATTAAGCAAAGTACCCAAAACCTTATCTATATAGTACAATATTCTCTTCAAAAGTTTAATCTCAAATACATATTAGCAGGAAATTTTCAAACGGACAATTTGGAAAAGAGGTTTGGAAGATATAGAAATTTGTCTGGTTGTAACTATAATGTTTCATACTGCCAAATTTTAGAATCGGAGAAAAAAATTAGACTTCAAAACTTATTAAAATCTTGTAACCTAGAACATGATTTAAATTATATAAAAAATATTTTGCCTTTGCCTAGGGAAAATTATGATGTAAGTTTGCAGGAAATTAACAATTTCAAATTTGTTCTGCATAGTGATTATTTAAAATTGTACAGTAATTTGGATGACTCTGTGCAGGAATACATCTGTGGATACGTGGCTCGATCAGTTTTGAAGAATAATAAATGTGATAAATGTCAAAGTTTAGTAGTTCTAGCAAAAGGCATCCAGACGGATCATACATATTTTAATTCTCAGCAGAGAGGGGGTCTCTGTATTGCCACTCAAGAAACCAAGTTTATTTATTTTCATCTTTGTGCTATCTTCGAGTATATAATAAATAAC